TGACTGGAGCCTTTGGGAAGGCACAAAAAGTAGGTGCTTCAAGGAGGTGAACGTCACAATGAGAAACAGAGCAGTTATTCTGATCAAGAGCATTCAGAATATTGTTTATCAAGTTTGATCTCATAGAAATGAGTGCAAGTTTCTCACATTTTATTCTGGCCTGATTGTCTAGCTCAGGCTCAACATACAGCTGGGACCGATGGCTGTAACTCCTGCAAGGACAGGAGGAATCTTTAGTCCTCCAGATGTTTGGACTTCAGAAACTCCAGCCAGCCTGACATGTGACTGTAGGAGTTGCATCCAAACATATGATGGGCCAAGATTTCCCTTCCCCCTGTTCTATAGAGTCTATAGTCTATAGTTTGGTGAGTCTTGCTCCCATCTAAGAATGCTACAGAATCACAGTGTCATGCAAAGTAATTTAGGTTAGGAGACAACTTCCCCACCTTTTCTGCCTATGCTAAGAAAATGTTTATCTATTCAATCTCTCAATATCAGCATAAAGACACTAGCTTCTTCTCTTTTATCTCAGCTAAATTAATTATGTTTGGGGCTATACTTATATAGCAAACAATAGCTCCTCCACACCTTGTATACCTAAAGCCATAATTCTGCTGCACACTCACAGGTCTTACTGCAATCAGTGGACTGTACCAATGAGAAAAAAATAGGCATAGGCTGAGCTTTTTATATTATTCTCTCATGTGGCCTATGGGTGTCAGGTCACCTTGTTTTTTGGCACAAGGTTCTCTCAGAATCAAAGCACACACATGTGCAGGCAGGCAAACAAGAATGGAGCTGGCCCTGTTCCTTATCCTCAACAGATTTCCACTGCAGCACCACCCCTCTCTATAAAAGCCCGGCAGCAGGTGCAGCTGGTGTTCCTGGGAGTGGTGCATCCAGGCTAGCCATGGCTGGGACACGGAAGAAAAGTTCTCTAAGCGGCAGCAGTTGGGATATCAGAAGCTGGAGGAGATTCCGGTGAGTTTCCATGCTTTGTGTTTTTTGGTGAGCTTTCCTCTGGGGTGGCCTCTGGCAGCACAGTTTGTAAAACCTGGCGGAGGTAGAAGATTGTGGATTATGGCTGCCGGCATTCTCTCCCACAGCTTGAACTCGCACCAGAACCCAGCGGCTTTCCTTGCTCTTTATCTGACAAAGGATTCCAAAAGAACTGGTTTTCAGCCCACCCAAGGTGTTCTCCACACAACACTACCCCTGTGTACTATCTCATTTCAAAGTCAGCGGGAAAAATCTGTCACCCAGCAAGGTGTAGTAGGGAAGAGTTTGAATCAACTACGGTATAAAGAAAGTTAGACAGATGCAAAGGTGGACAGGGAGTTCATATTTATTTAACTCAAGTTTGGCAGGCACAGTTTGTAATACAATGGTTAGATCATTCTACTCAAGTCCCATCTTCTACCCTGATGCTTGGTCTTCCTTTACTCCTGGGTTACGCTAGAGCAGTGGTTCTTAACCTTTTTGACCAGCGTTTTTGTTTTTTCACAGCAACTCACATGATCTTCATTATTGACCATGCTGGGTGGAGCTAATGGGACTTGCAGCCCAAAACTATCTGGATAGCTGAGATTCTCTTCCTCCATCTGAATTTACTACTCTTTAAGTCTCCCTAAAAAGGATTTGTGAGCCCTTGGGCAGAGATGCGATCTGATGCCCTGTTCCTGGCCTCCATAGAAACCCATGCATGTGGAAGGCTCCGACGTGTTGTATGGCAGAGCCAAGAAGGAAACAACTGCTGGGAGCTTATATTGGAGGAGGTGCTTGAGAGAGGGAGAGCAAAGAGTGGAGAACATTTTACATCCTCCCATTGCATTCTTGAGGTTAATTGATGTACACAGGCACATCCACACCAGACAGCCGCAGCCTGAAGTCCCCCCCCCTGCTGTTTCCCCAAAACCCCATTAAGATGCTCCAACATTGATACAGTTTAACTTTTGCTCTCCTCCTCTGAATAAAGATCCCCCTCCTGCTGCAATTACTTTTTCTCCCTGGATATAATAGCAGGAAGTGGAAGGAAGGAAGTTAAACCTTCTCTTCCTCACTACTGCCCTTTTCTTCCTGCTCATGAGGAAGACTGGTCACGGCCCTCTTATTCCCCCACCCCACCCCTGCATACACCTCTGGCAAGAAGGGCTTTTGGAAAGCTTCTGATCAAAGGTATTCTTCTTGCCCCACCTTGTCTGTCCCCCTTTATCTTGGACATCCTGAACACAAAGAAAGGGAGGAGCAAGGGGAATATAGTCCCACAGACAGGCCTCTCATTTTTTGCACATCTGAGACAATAATCTTTTGCACACCTGAGAGAGAGACCTGGCAAGCCACAATTTCCCAACCCCTGATTCAGTGCTACAGTACATACTTTCTCCCAAGTCAACATGCATAGGGATGGTTGCATGTATGAAGAAAGATCTCAAAAGTGAGGGTGTGGCTATTATTAGGGGAATGAGCTCAGATTGGAAAGGCCCAATAGTGCTGGAGAGGCCTGGTCCAGGAAATAGGTAGTGGGTGGGGCCATGTTTTGCAGCTCAGTAGCAGGAGGTTTCACTGGTTTCTGTTGAAATAGAGCTTAATAATGCAATGTTAAACAAGCATACATGAATTGAAGCTAAACGGTGTCCATGGGGCTGACTCCCCAGTAGAAGTACTTGGGGGTGACCTATTAGTTAGGCATCCTTCAGTCTCAAAAGACTATGGTAACGTGCTCTGCATGGAGGACTTGAAACACCATCTAGTGTGGCTGAGAAGGCCAATTCGAGAGAGACAATCCCTTCCACAATGAAGACAAATCCAATCTGTCCCCTGTCCAGCTCCCTCATTTTGCTGCTTTTGGGACTTTCTCTTTGCCTCAGCCTGCTGGACAAGGGTCTCTTCAAATTGGGAGAGGCCATGATGCACCGCCTGCCTCCAGGCTGAACGCTCAGATGTCAAGGTTTCCCATCTGCTGAGGCCCATTCCTAAGGCCTTCAGATCCCACTTGCAGATATCCTTGTATCACAGCTGTGGTCTCCCTCTGGGGCGATTTCCCTGCACTAATTCTCCATACAGGAGATTCTTTGGTGTGACCTATTAAGTCCATGTGATTGCTTTTGTATTTGTCCCTTGTAACTTTGGAGTCTCACTTCTCCCCCCCCCATACATTTGGGCTGTAAAGTATTTAACACTTAGCCCCTGCTTGTATTGCTCAGCAAAGTGCTGAGAACTCTGACAGCTTATGATGATATATATATATCACTTAAAACTGCACTTCGGTAGCCCTTCCCAGGGAACAAGTCCCACTGAATTCTCTAAGACAGCTGCGTATAGGAAAGGGCTCTTACCGTACTTCAGTGACTCGGGGGTTTAAGGCTGATGATTGTTTCTGGGAGGGGGCTCTCTCCTTACGCACACCCGCCACCCCTTCATTCCCATTCCGGGACTCGGCTTCCTGTCATGCGAAGTTTGTCTTTAAAAAAACCATCCCTCTACGTTGGGATGCGCAGTGTGACTTTCCATCGCTCCACGGAAATCCAGTAACCGCCAACTGGCCTCCCTCGTTTCGAGGACTCTGAGG